GGGTTCAATTCCCCCCTTGGCCATGAGGCTTGCAGTCCCAGACTCTCAGCCCAGCCTTCCTCACAGGGTTGTTGTGAGGATAAAATGGAGCTGTGGAGGTTGACTTGGCAGGATAGAATTTTAATGCAATGATAATATTGGACAGTAGAGAAATTAAGTCATTGCTTGCCTTCCACTGCTGCAAAAGACATACTAGGCTGAAAATGACCGCCTCGCGTCGGTAGGACACTTGAAAAGAGGAGCAGATTTCTAGAGACAAAGGAAGCTACCTAAAGAGAGTTAGAGCATGCGTCCATCTACCTTCATAATGCCAACACTGACCGACAGCAACAGTTCTCCAGGAATTCGGGCAGTGTGCCTTCTTAGCTCTGCCAGGGGACGATGGGGATGGAACCAGGGACCATCAATAGATTGGGACAGACTCAGTTTCCCTTACGTTTCACGAGCTGGCCACTTGTACCTTTGTGCGTATCTCCCGCAGCGCTCAGCTTTCAGTACATCACTTCGCTTCATAGACATATTTTTGGAGACCCATTTCTCCCAGAGTAACATGATTCTGTTAATATATTATTTTGCTTGGGGGCTTACTGTCCATTGAATGGGTAAAACACAAGGGGATTTGTACCTTGACGGGCAGTGGGGTGGGAAGACGAACAAAAATAGCCGTCCGTCCAATTAAAAGAAAGAAAGCTCCCCAGAAGCTGATCTGAAGAACATTCCTCCATTCCACAACCTTCGAGACATTTCATTTGGGCAAACAACTCTCACAGAAATGTTGCAAAAAGCTGGGCTGAAAGATAAGGACAGATGAGCACGTCCATTTCTCACATTTTCAGCTTCAGTCCCTCCTGTTCCTACATCAGTTTGAGATTGTGCAAACTGCACGAACGTCTGCAGAAACCTTCGCCTGCATTTTGCACCATTTCTCCTAGTGCGTGGCTTTTTGCCACCCAGCTGGCCCATTTTTGCAAGCAACAGAGTGCCCATTTAGCGTGATTCACCGATACATGCGTCCTTTGCACCCGTTTGTAATTTGCAGGATCCCATTGCAAAATTTGGAGAAGTACAAGTTCCGGTACAGATTCGAAAGCGCAAACTTTGATATGTTTGCTTTAAAATGCAAACTGAACCAATTTTTCCCACAGCTCTGTGTGAAGGCAGAGTCCCTCTCTGTTTAAAGTCAACCATATTTGCTCTTTAGGGAGACTAGATTCCGGAAAAGCAAAACTGTCCCCCAATAGTTCAGCAACAGTTCCACCTGCAGAGCGAGAATTTGCCCCACAAGGCAGCCAGGCACCTTTGATGGACCCCCCCCCCGCCCCGTTTGAACCAGGATGGGGGCTCCACTAGCCAAGGAAAGCCGCCCATGAGGCACCAGTGGCTGCGATGGACACAAGGGGGACCTCCCGGCCCTTGTCTTCCTTAGGGATGCTTGGTGAAAAAGGGGTAATTCAGGCTGCCGAGATTCTAAAGAAACGGGCATGCCCAAAATATTTGTGTCACATTTTTAAGGCAACATAATCTAAAAAGATAACGTGTTTCTAGCCCTTTAACTCGACGGGGTGTTAGGAGTGGAGCGCCGTCTGTAAACTGGTGCGTTCTCTTTTTCTCCTACTGTCCTCAGAATGAGGCTTTCCCTAGAGAAGGGGTGCAAAACCTGCCCTCCCCAAGCTCTCCTTTGCAAGCACCATGGGGAGGCATTTCCTCCCAAGGCACCTTGGCAACAAGGAGCAGGGCCTTTCAGTGGCAGCCCCCAGTGGTGGAAGGGTCTCCCCACTGAGGCCTGTCAGATCAAAACTGCTCTCTTTCCCCTCTATTTAAGGGGTAATGTCAGCTTGTTTTAATTAGGTCTAGTTTTATTGAAAATGTTTTAGATGTTAAACTTTTTTCTCATTTATTTATTTATTATTTAAAATGTTGCATCCCACCCTTTACAGTGTCTCATAAAATATGCTTTTGCATATTGGGATGTTTAAGCTGCCTTAAATTTGTATATTGGAATCTTAGACTGTATTTTGTGGTATTTGTATTTTTATTGTATCTTTTTGAGTTTTGATTTATTGTTGTGAACTGCCCAGAAATGTTTGGCTAGTGGGCAGTAAAAAAAAAAAAAAGAAATAAAATAAGAAAAAAATCTTTCCTTGTTGTTGTTAGCAGTGAGCAAAGGAGGAGCTATTTCAGGCGTATTGGGGGTGCGTGCAAACATGTGTTTGTACGTATGTATGTATGTATGTATGTATGTATCACATGCAGCTCCAGGAACCAAGAAGGCTCGGCAAGAACCCTCTAGTATGTTCTAGAGGAAATATCTGGCCATCTGAAATGAGATGTTTGGAATATGACAATAGCAGTTCCCGAACGAATCAAAGTGGATTCCAGTCCACAAAACCTAACCCTAACCCATAATATATATTTTTAATTCTTTAAGGTGCCGCAGGATGTGTTTTGATTGGGATGAACAATAAAAGCCATCAGCTTTCATGGACTGCAAACCACATTGCCAATCGTATGACTCTATTGTCAGTATTACAATTATGAGCTGGTTCAGCCGTAATGCTAAACCATCATTTAACGTTACAAGAATTGGCCAAGTCTCTTCACTGAGCCACACGCTGCTCCTCCACCGCCCTGAGTACAAGCTGGAAACTCTTTGCATCTGTCTTTGATTAACTGCCACATCATCTCAACCCAAGAACGTTTGCCAACTCTTAACTATGTTTAGTGGAAACACACAGTTTCAGTCTTGAGCTTTATGAAGTTGACTTGTTTTCCCACTTAAATTTAACCACAGTTTAGGCTTCCGATGACATCCTAAACTGCTGTTTATGTCTAAAGGGCATCTAAAATTGGAACCAAGAGCTTCTGGAAACCTTCTTGCACCCACACCAGAGAAGAGAGATTTTTCAGGTTCATTGAGCCCGAAAGAGCTAACTTCTTCCTGCAAGGTTTTGGCTTACAGTGCAATCCCACACAAGTCTACTCAGAAGAAAATCCCAGTTAATTCAGCGAGACTTACTCCCAGGTCGATTTGTAGGGGATTGCAGGCTTAGCATTCAACGCAAACAGCCAGTATATGCATGAGGAGCCATCCTGACACAAAGCTAGATGGTTTCGCCACCTAAATGTGGGGATGGGCAGAAACATAGACAGGTCCCAGTTGTGGTCTTCAGTTCCCATCAGCCAGCATGGCCAACTGCCAGGCATGCTGGGAGTTGAAGTTCAAAACATCTGGAGATCTACTTCCTGTCCACCCTGGTTAGCCTGTTGAACTCCAATGTCCACGCTGGCTGGAAATAATGGGAATTGTAGTCAAACCAGTTTAGAGCACCCCAGACTGGGACAGGCTGGGCTAAGGCTATGTTGTCCACACTGACTGGCAGCAGCGTGTTGGGACTGCATCAGACTTTCTGTATGAAAAACCAGTGTTCAGCCCACAAGCTTTGGCTTTTCTTCAACAAGCAGACACAGATGTGGGGGAAACTGTCAGCCCTGAGGCCCAAAAGCTACAAAATCCAAAGAAATCCAGAATCTAATGTAATCTTCTTCCACCAAGACAAGGAGATAACTTTTTATCCGTCCAATCCACTGGGCTCCACTCCACAAATGCCACAAGAAATCTGTTGGTATTCAAAATAACCAGAGATCAAATGTAGCAGGTTAGATGGAACTTCCTATCCGATATGGTAGACTTGTAAAATAACACAAACATTTTGGAAATTGGTACATGCAGAAATGCAGAAAAACTAACATTAAGTTACAAGAATATGCTTTTGAATATTGTGCAAGAGACCCTTTTAAAACATGTCAGAGTTATTTGACAATTGCAGCAAGAATCACAGCAACTTCTAACTGGAAATCACCAGACCCCCAACCCTTGAAGAATGGAGAAACCAGTTGGCAGAGTATGTCCTGACAGCAAAGCTAGCTAACTATGTAAATAGAAGACCGTTCGAAGAATTTAATGATCAATGGAAATTTTATTACGCTCACTGTGATTAATGGGAGTCGAGGGGAGTTTGGAAAAGGAAAGGAAAAGCAGTTGAGGTCTTGAGGTGGTGAGAAGTTTTTTTGTTGCCTGGTTAATGCTTTCCCCCCTGTTAAACTCTTAGAGAGTGTGGAAAGGTGAAAGATTGATAATTTGGGGGGACTGAATGTATAGGCTGCATTTGTTCAAAATTCCCTTGGCGATTTTGCTTACTCTGTTTATTTTAGTGTCCTAGTTTATTTTAGTTTGTTCTGTTTTGTATTCTTGTATGTATTTGGTAATAAAACAAAACAAAACAAAACACAGAGTGCATTGTGGAGCTTGCCATTACGCTAGGGGGAAATGGTGGCTGAGTTTCTGATGGGAATCCGCCTTCTTGTTTCCCTGAACAGGCTAGACAAAATCGAGATATGGTTTCAGTCACCTGCAGTCACTTCCCCATATCAGTTTCCCTCAGTCCTGACTTCACCAAAGCAAGCTTCAAGTTGCCGGGCAAAGCCACAACACGGGCAAGGTAAGGCAGCAGCAAGGTGTGATCCCGGTCCAGGCAGATCTCAAAACACGGGTAAGCAGCGCGTTCAGGAGCACTGGCAAGGCGGGGGCCACGCCCCCAGCCCAGGAAACCAGACAAACAGCATTGGAGCTGCAGAATGGAGCTTTTTTCCAGCACCAGCTACACAGAACCTCCTGCTTGCAGTAGCAGAGACGGCTGAGCCTTGCCCAAGACATGGGCATGGACAAGCCCCGGACTGAGAACCAGAAAGACCAACAGGACAGGGTGCCAGTACCTTGAGCAGAATAACCTGGCTGGGTGCGCTGCCAGACAAGATGCAGGAGCCGAACCGGCGCTGGGCAGTCAAGGCGACTTTGCTGGGGTAACACGGCAAGGCAGGACGCGATGGGGAGGAGACGCAGCAAGGGCAGGAGCTGAAGCGCAGCAGAGCCCGCAGGAAGACCAGCGTTGCTGAGGTGAGGCAGGAGGCAGAGCCGACCAGAGGCAGGGCTGCGGCAAACGAGAGCATCCGTGATGCCCCCGGCTGGTGCGCCTCAGGGGACCGAGGGGCTGCGCATACTGAGATGGGCTTTTGCTCCTGGCCCAGAGCAGCCCAGATTCTGCCACCTCCTGCAGCTGGAGGCAATGGAGCTCCTGTGGGTCGGGGTGGCCAGCCTCCTGGCAGGGATGGGCCAGTAGCCAGGCCCCCAAAGGTCCAAACTCTCCCCTGGCCAGGAGGGTTCCTCTCTGGGAGTTCTAGCTGCTTCTCAAATGAGACCTGCTGCGGCAGGAGCAAGATACCTTCCAACGTGTGGGCTTCCAGATGCTTTGGACTTCAAATCCCATCCGCCCCAGCCAGCATGACAAATAGCCAGGGATCCTGGGAGGTGGGGGAAGCCATCTTTCACTTCAGCCTGAGATGCGCCATCAGACTTACGGTGGCTCAGTGGGAAAGGAGTGAGGCTCACGCAACAGGGAGCAACCACTCCAGATGTGGCGCCCAGCTCAAATGCACTCTTGGCCTCTCCCCATCATTAGCAGAGGAATCCTCACTAGTGGGGCATTGGCATAGGTACTATTCTATGAGTTGGATTCAGACTAAGCTAAAACTAGGTCCCGCAGTAATCAGTGAGAAAAGTCAGTCTTGATTTAGCAAAGTCACATTCATTTAACTGGCACTTTAAGTACATGTCAGCCTGGACAATTCAACCTTTTTTATTCCCCAGTATTTTAAAGTTTAGATTGAGATTTTAAGTGGGGTTTTACCGTATAGAATGGATGCTGTGCTGCACATTGCTTTATTTGGCAGTGGACAGTACACAAAAGTTTTAAATAAAGAAATAACGCTCCAACTTTCCTCCAAGCTGCAGGAACTCAGGTTGTGCAAAGCAGTTCAGTCCCCTCAGAAACAATGACTGATCCCCAGAGGGCACCAGTCCGTGGGCAGGGACGCCCTTTGCAAAACCAGCCAACGGTTTCTGATGCCCATTCGAAGGTAAGGGAAAGGGCGGGTTTACCTTGGCCCGGTGGCTCTGCGGCTTTCTTCTGATCTTCTTCGATGCGAAAGGCCGTCAGCAGGAAACAGCCTCCTCCCAGGACCCCGACGAAGGCACATATGACAAAACTGTACTGCAAGCTTCGGAACTCCCAGAGGTAGGTGTGATCGCCCTGCTTGTCCTGGATCCCCATGGCAATCTGGAAATTAAAACGAGTCGTGTTCCTTCCAGAGCTAAGCTGATCCGGGAGCCATCATTTGGAAACTGTGGACCAGCTGGGCTTTTGCTTCCACATTCATGGAAGCAAAGGAAGCAGCTTATACAAGTGCTTCTTTGAGCTTTCCAGAGTTTCAGGGAGGAGATGAAGACCCTAACCCTAACCCGCCACTACACTGGTTTTTCGCTTCACATGTACCTTGCCTCAAGAAGGCTGTTCTTAAATTACGCTAACATCAAGTGCAGGGTATTCAGGCAGATGACTGGGGGACCTTTGTGCTCCTCCACCAGACCTGCTGAAAGACTTCATTTTTCCTCTTCCCTCCCCATTCCTATTTCTTTTTGTGTCATTGCACTGTGATCCTGAGCGTCGGGACTGCTTTGTAGGGATGCATGGACATGCAACATTTGAGCTCACTGGAGTTCTCCACATTGCTTCCCTAAGTAGGAGTATCTTTTTTCAGGGAAAAATTTCTCTCTCTCTCTCTCTCTCTCTCTCTCACACACACACACACACACACACACGGGGGGGGGGGGATGCAGATTTGGCAGGAGGGGTTTGTGGAAATGCCTATCTGTACACTTTCAAAACACAAGTGTGCAGTTGCACAAATAGCACCGCAAATTTGTGTTTGTCTAGACTTTTGCACTCAGATACAAGTTTGGAAAGAGTGACCATTTCCAGAGAACACTGGGAGTTGCAAATGAGCCATGAATGAAATTTTCATGCATCACTGCAGCTCTTTTAATTGTATGCTGTCCTGAGAGTCATCTGGGCTGGACAGAGGGCTACAAATATTTTACATACCTCTGTTTGCCCATCTCCTCCCACATCTGAAATATAGGGATGATAATAATACTGGCCTACCTAACAAGAGTGTTGTATGGCTTATGAATAAATATATGCACAACACTGTCAGTTCCAAAGTGTTATATAAAATTAATTAGTAATAATTATTACTATTAATAAATTTCTATATCACCCCATAGCCAGCTGATGTGTTTCTATGAATATGGTTCCAGATTCAACTTTGGTGATTTTCCAGGGCTGGAATTTTAGAATTATGTTGGAATTCTTGAATTTCACTCTGCCCTTTCCTGCCTTTTTTAACTCCAGGACGCTGACCCTGCCAAATAGCCTTGGCTAAAAATTCACCTATTTTCATCACACAGGCTGAAGTTTTTACAGCTGTTATTATTATAGTTATTATCAGCAGTGCATTAATTGTTATTTCATATTACTGGTGTTATGCATAATCAATGTTGCCAATGATTATTTATAGTAATACATTGCATTTATATGCTGCTTTTTTCTTCTTGTAGGAAACCAAAGATGCCTTACAAATATCTCCTTCCTTCCCTCCATTGTATCCTCACAACAACAACCCTGTGAGGTAGGCTAGGCTGAGAGACAGTGGCGGGCCCAAAGTCACCAGAGCTTCCACCATGGCTGAATGGGGACTTGAACCCGGATCTCCCAGGTCCCCAGCAGAACAATTCCACCATCCCACACACTGGCATTGCCTGAAGGAAGGTGCCGGGGTTCAAACCGGACAACATAACCAACCTCACACGCACCTGCCGTATGCTGGCTTCTCGCTGAAGGGCCAGTAAGTCCCCATGCCAGGCTTCCCAGACCAGGTGGTTATTCTGGCTGGGGATGAGAGGAACTGCAGCTTGACCCCTCTGGGAGGGGTCTGGGTGGAAGAGGGAGGTGGAAGGCCCTACCAGTTCACATCCCCCTTTCTTGCCCGACACCCGGGGGCCACTTCGCCACTCACCATGCCGATGAGGGAGGGGCTGCCCGCGTCGCCCAGCAGGTGGCTGACCAAAATCTGCAGGGACATGGCGGTCGACTGGCAGCTTGGCTTCACCACATACTGAAACGGCAAGAGGAGCGGGGTCAGTGCTCGCGGGCCATGCTCAGGGCGGAGACAGGCTACACGGCCTAGATTTCCTCCAGCAGCTCTCCAGGCAGAGCATGACCTGTTCTGGCTAAGTCCACCTGGTGCTTCTATCTAAGGCCTCCTCTCTCCAGGGCTTGGCTGGAGGCATCACTTCCCCGGCCCAAGCCCCCCCTCCGGGCAAGCTCCGCAACCTTCTGGGGTGCCCAAACTCTAGAGGCCCTGACGGCGCTACGGAAAGGAAGGGAGCGCCCTTCCGGGGAGGTGCACGTGGGCGAGGCTGGCCCTCCCAAGAGGTGCACCGGGTGTCCTGCCTCACGCGGCCCGTCCCCGAGGGCTGGGCAGGTGCTTCCACACCAGAGCTGCAGGCCTGGGTCGGTCACCAGAACACCATGACGGCCATTCTCCTTTGGTGGGGAGATCAACAGGTGCAGCTCTCTGGAGCGCCACCCACCGGATGCCTCGTGCTGAAGCTTCGCCTGAGCACAGCGTCGGTCGGGTGGCCGGCTGCTCAGAACAGGGGGTGCTCGCAGCAGAGAGGGGCCCTTCCTTGGGGCAAGCCACAGGTGGAGGTGGTCCCCGGGGTCCCCTGCCCTGCCATCGCAAGGACGGTCCCCAAGGCCACCTCCCACTGGCGGCTTTCTCCCGTGGGGCCGGCCTTGGCACCTTGCAGAAGGTGCAGCGGGAACCGAATCCAGATCCTGAGCAGGTGGAGGCGGAAGGGCTTGGAAGCTCCTTCAAGGTTGCCTGGTGAGGTTTCTAGCACTGGGTGTGAGAACTGGCCCGTACTGGGAGTGGAGGAAGCGCTTTCGGGAGGGGAAGGGAGCGGGTGCAAGGCCCAGTCCTGACCCAGCAAAGAGAAATGAGCTGCTCCGTTGGAGGGACTCTGCCATCCGTGCCGCCTCGCCTGCCACCAGCGAGAGCCCCCTGCAGGTGCAGCCGGAAGCTTTCCTGAAGGGAGGGACTGCAGGGAGATTCCCAGTTTGGATTCAACTCTTAACAGGAGCTCAGGCTTCTCTTTTCAGTTTGGGAAGAAGTCTAGGTAGAGCTCAAACAGCCCTGTGATCCGTGGAGTCCCCATAAAAGGACTTATTTAGTGTTTATGTATTTATTTAAAGTTTTTCTATGCTTTTCCATTTCTAAAAAAAAGTCTCTGGATGAGTTACAAAGAACAAAAAACCAAAGAACAGAAACCGAAACAACAACAATGCACAGCACACTGCATCTAAAAATAGTGATAAAAACAAGGATAAAACCAATTAATTGTTAAAATACCAGGAAAATGAAAAGGTCTTTGCCTGATGCCAAAAAGAATAGAGCGATGGCTCCAGGAGAACCTCCCTGGGGAGCGTATCCATGGTCAGGGCGCCATCACTGCAAAGGCCCTTCTCTGGGTAGCTACCCTCCTAAGCTCCTTCAAGGAGGGCTCCCAGAGCAGGGCCTCCGCCTCAGCTCTCAAGGGGCGGGCAGGCACACAGGGAAGGAGGCGTCCTTCAGGTATCCTGGACCCAAGCCATTTAGGGCCTCATAGGTCATCACCAGCACCTTAAATTTGGCCCAGACTTCAATGGGCAGCCAGTGTAAGCGGTAGAGGACCGGCGTGATATGGGAGCACCTGCCGGTCCCCGGTCCAGGGGGAACTTCTTGTTCCAGCTTCAGGGAACGGCTCAAACTGTCCAGTGCTCCGAGGAGTCTCCAAAAAGAACCACTTCTGCATAGGCATGTCTTGAGTTTTGGAAGCAGAGAAGGAAGAGAAGGGCAGCAACCCTTTCAAAGGAGGCCTTGAGGGCAGGGAAAGGCTATGAAGCTGTCGCAGTTGTGGGGAGAAGGAGGAATGGAGGGGGACACGCTGTGGCAGAGTTCCACCTTGTTCCTTGAAGGAAAAAGGCGGGCTCTAAATATAATAATAGATAATAATGCATAAATGTAAGAGCCAGCCATGGTGAGGAATCTGCTCAGGGAGGTATTTCCTGGCATTCAGAGAAGGCTACTCAGAACCGCAGGCTCTTTATCTCCCTGCCACCCTGCGCACAGACACCGTTGAAAGGGGAGGAAACGAGACAAAGGGATGGGCGTTGCGAGTGATAACGGCGCAGCGTGTGGTGCTGGGGGAGTTGCGCCTCTGGCCACTCCCGATTATTTTCATGCGCTCCTGCTGCAATGCAGACTAAGAGATGGATCCTGGTACCAGAAGCCCCTGGGGCCGTGGTGTCATCCCGGCAGGACTCAGACACGGATGTGCCTGTCGGGAGAATGTCTTAGTCGCGTTCCCCATTAAGCACACTCAGGGCAGCTTACACCGACACAGACAGGCCGTTTCGATCTCTGCCCGTGGAACGGCACAAGGAAAAAGACGAAGTGGCGTTCCACCCAGGGCAGGAGTGGAGAGCGTGTTGCTGCCAGATGTTCTCGCCTCTGTCTCTTATCGGTCCTTGCCGTCGGTTCTGCTGGTCGTGGCAGATAAAATGCAGTCTGGCCACATCGCGAGGGCTGCAGTGCCCTGCCCTCGGAATGAAATGCTCTGGGTTCAAGGGGCCGTTGGCCTGCACATTTCCCCAGGACTTGCTTCCAGGGAAGCCCGCAATGCATTGCCCGTCAGGCCGTCTCAGGGTCGCTTGTGCCCCTCCCCTAGCGCTCCCCGTGCAACCTCCCCGCTAGCCCTGCAGAATTGCGAGCTCTCTGCCGCGAGGGATGTGAAAGCAGAACATGGGTCCAAGGAGATCTAAGAATAGACAGATCAGCACATCAGCAAAATCCGTTTGACAGTCAGAATGAGGAACTCACCAGCAGAATGTCGGCCACGATGGCCCAGTTTAGAGACAGCAGGAATTCCGCGAGGGCAATAAAAATCTGAAATATTAAAGGGGAGGGGTCAGAAGTCCAACAGGGAGAGCAACCAGGAATGCGCAAGCAGATGCGCAGCGACAGAAACAGGAAAGCACCTGGCTACTTGCTCTGGACATCAGCTACTGTTCCCCCCGCACCCCGGCTGCTTCTCCTGCAAGAGGGGATATGGGAAACGGGGTTGCTTGTATACGGGAACCTGTGAGCAAGGCGCTTGCTGGCCTTCCAATGTGCACACGCTTCCTCTTCAGGCATGTAAAGTTATCATGCTTTCCCAAATAAGCAGTCTTTGCCTTGCAAGCTTGAGGACTAGAACCTTGAAACCCCGCAAGTTTCAGGATGTCTGTCAAAGCACAGCTTCTCTGCTATGGATCCTGGATTCCTCACAGGGAAGGTCTCCCTGGGGGAGGCAGCGCAAGAGCAGGAGCACTGGGGCTTCTGGGACGGGGGCGTGGGCCCCCGGCTGAGGCAAAGACACTTATCGTCACTTGCATATGTGGCCACGGTGCTCTCCTGGGCCAGGATGATAGCCAAGTATATGCACGGTGCCGAGGTGAGCGAGCCCAAAGCACAGATAAGAGGGTCGGCTTTTGGGTTGATCTTCCTGTATCTCCGGGCGGCCTCGGCTCCAGCTATGACCCCCAAAATGCCAGTTGCAATCGTCATTCCTCCAAAGATCCGGCTGGTGAGCAAAAGAGAAGAATTATAGGCAGAAAAATAGGAACCCGTGACCCTCGAGCTGTTGTTGGACTCCAGTCCCATCATCCCTGACAGCTAGCCCTCTTGGAATCAGAGTCCACTGCCAGACAACAGGTTTTGCATCCAGAACAGGACCTTATAAAGGGCAGCGGGCATAATGTTCTGGTTCACAACTCCCATTAGCCCCAGCCGTCATGGCCAATGGTGAGGAATGATGGGAACTGTCGGCCAAAATGAACAGCCACTGGGTGCCGACTGCTAAGCCTTAGTTACTGGCAGCAGGACATTACAGGCAAAACAGACCGGTATGCTTGATAGTCCGGTTCCACAGGAAGAGGGGCCATTCCACCAGCCCTACCAGGAGACTACTTGCTCTTTTCCTCTGCCCTCCCCTTCCCTTCTCCCTTGAATGTCTTTCAGGTTGTGGGGAGGGAATGCGGTCGACGCCACCCGCTTTGCCAGTGGCACACCCGCGAGTCCGGCCATTGGACTGAAAGACGTCACAGCCTTCCAAAGTCTCCTCGCCTGCTCTGCACCCTCCCTGCTCCAAATTGCACCCACACCATAAAGCCGCATGCCCGGCAGAAGCGCTCCAGCCCGGGTTTCTGGCTCACGTGCCGTCCCAGCCCCGTGTTTCAGGTGGGCCGGACATGCCTGTGCTGACCCCCTCGCCCCCGGGCTCAACCCCCTCAGGATCAGGTAAAGACAGCCAGACCCCTACTTCTGCCATCTCTCCCCCACCGCTCCTCCAACCCTCGCTTGCCTGACCTGTTGGAGTTGTCGCACAAGTCTCTCTTGCACAGAGGCGTCAAGTCCAGGAGGCGCTGGGCTCTGGAGAGAAACACCGGCACCCAGAACCCCAGAGCCCCGGTGACGAAGGCCATCGCCGTCACACCCAGCGAGGACCACAGGAAGCTCCAGCTGCGGGGGTGGAGGAGCGGGAAGACGCACATAGCAGCCCCTGCCGCAGAAGCAGCTAGCATCTCTGCGTTAGTTGCTGGGGAACATGGGCAAAAGGGTGCAGTGGTGCCAGGGCAGCTATGTGTCCTGGGACAGATCCTTGTTCTACTCCGGCAAAGCTAATCGGGACAGATTCTTGTTCTACTCTGGCAAAGCTAATCGGGACAGATCCTTGTTCTACTCCGGCAAAGTACTTCCTGTCCTCTTTTTCCCACTGTCCCACCAGAGAGAGCTGTCTTATATTTCTCCATAAACAACGGTCATTCGTCCGTCGTTCAAATCTCCATCTATGCACATAAATAAGCACCTGCACATTTTATGCAAACTGCAGCCACTTTTGGTCCTCTTTTTTGCCTGCAGTGGGAAAGAGATGCAAAATTTCCTCTTTTCTGGCTAACTTGTCATGTGGGCCAACACCAGAGCCTTCTGGGTAATCCAGTTACTGCAGCAGGTGGCAAATATTTCACAAGCCATCAGTTTCTCTGCCTACTCAGCTTTTACAATATGATCAGGTTGTGCGCCCAGTAACATATCCTTCCAGCACTGACATGTTCATAATTTGGCTTGGCTTTGAGTAGAAAATGTTTAAGGTCCGCAAGCCAACAGTGCCCCCTAATGGCAGGCAGATCGACCTGCATGACATGTCATAAGCCCACCTCATAAGGACTATATTTAAAGAAATGTTCATGCTGAAGTACAGAAGGATAAAATCTCAACAGCAGAGACAGAGGTGGCATCTGGAGGGGGGGAAATAAGTGGGGGAAGGGACCATTCCACTAGCCCTGCCATGAGACCACCTGCTCATTTCCTCTGCCCTCCCCATCTGCTTTTCCTTGTGTGTCATTCCATGTGGGCAGGGGATGTCTTGTTTTATTGACTCTATTTAAGCCTTCCTAGGAGCCTTTTTGGCTGAAGATAAATAAAGAAATACACTTCTGTGCACTCAAGCATCCCCAACAGTTTGTTCACAACAGTGGAAAGAACTGGTGATTACCCCTACCTTTGGCGTGTTGAGCGAACAACAGTAGAAAAGGGGACAATGCTACTCTTGACTGAGGACTAAGGACTTGAGAAGGAAAATGGGAATACAGCCTCGTCCCATGGCGGAGGACTCAAGTCGAGAGACTCAGTCCCAAGTCCAACTCAAGGGTCTTGCACCTGGGGCAGAGGAAGGGGTGCCATAAGTGCAGGTCAGGGGACGAGTGGCTGGAGAGCAGCACTTGTGAAAGGGACCTCGGTGTGCTGGTCGACTGCAGGCTGAACATGAGCCAGCAGGGTGAGGCGGTGGCCAAGAGGGCGAGCGCCACCCTTGGTTGCATAGCCAGCAGTGTGGCTTCTAGATGGAGGGAGGTATTACTACCACTCTATATGACTCTGGTGTGCCCACAACTGGAATATTGTGCTCAGTTTTGGGCCCCTCGTTACAGGAAGGATATAGCCAGGTTAGAGTCAGTGCAGCGCAGGGCCACAAGGTTGGTGGCCGGTTTGCAGGGGATGCCGTATGAAGCAAGGCTGAGGGAACTGGGTCTCTTCAGCCTGGAGAAGAGACAACTCAGAGGGGATCTGTTGGCGACATACAGGTATGTGAGGGGATGTGTCATGGAGGTGGGCAGAGAGCTCTTCTCCCCTGCAGAGGAAGGCAGGACGCGCTCCAAAGGAGCAAAGCTCAGGGAACCGAGGTTCAATTTGGATGCCAGGAAGCACTTCCTGACAGTTAGGACCCTGAGGGTGTCGAATGGGCGTCCACGAGATGTCTTTGAGGCCCCATCGGTGAGGGTGTTCAGGGACAGGCTGGACATGCACATGGTGGGCATGTCGTCAGCGAAGCCGGCTGGAGCCGAGGGTCAGACTAGATGACCTGGGAGACACCTTCTGACTCACTCTGTTTCTATGTTTCTAAGTCGTGCCAGCAACTCAGCTCAGATTTGACTTGGGAGCAAGGAGCAAATGTCTAGACTTGAGATTTCTACTATTTTTACGCCCAACTCACTCCAGGGTTACTGTGTGGCAGAATATCCCTGAAGGCAGGAATGAACACACAGGAGGTGGGAGGGAGGGAACTTCACGGGGGCAGCACAAGGGGGAGACTTGAGGAGAGACTTAAGACCTGACTCGAAAGTTTCTTGCAGTGACTTGAGGCTCGACTTGGACTTGAGATTGGACTCAAGTTTTGGAGTAAAGGCCTTGAACACATTTCTGCCTAGTCCTAACCCTGGCTGTTTTTCAGGCTCTTTTCAGCCAAGACTTCCCATAAGGACTAGAAACTTGAATGATTGCATCACGACAACGGCAAGAGAGCCTTACTTTTTGCAGAGGGATATGACATCTTTGAACCAGGCTTTAATCCCTTTGCGCTCTTGGGCCTTGGGCGTCTCAGCTGCATGGTGGGTCGATTCAGGAACCAAGACAATGAGGAGGACCAGGCCCAGAAACCCCATGCAAGGTGTGACCTGTGGGGACAGGAGAGTTTGCTAAATAGGCATTTCCGAGGGGCTTCTGACTGACATGATCAAGAGCTGGCGGGTGGGAAGTCTGCAAGTAGAATTTGGGATGTCTTGCAATACATCTTCAAGGAACCTTTCCATAGACAAACAGTTGGCATGCAACCCCTAAACTGTACAGCTAAAATGAAGACAGGGTGACCAGCAGGGGAACTCGAGTCACAACCCTGAACCTGCTTAAACTAGCAAACAAAAGAATCCTGAAGTTCCCAGCATTGGCTGGCTGGGAGTCGTAGGACTTATTTCTGTCTAAACATGCATAAGATCATCTCATTGACTGATGGTTTAATTAATCAGAAGATTAATTAATCTCATTGAAATCAACATGCATTTGTACATGGGGGAAAGTCCTCGAAAAGTAGCTTTCTTTGCTATTTGGTGGTGCAGCCACATCTCAGCTTCACAGACAGAAGCGTTCCACTTCCCCACAGAAGGCAGTGCCTGTCTTAAGACAGAGCGTGTGTATGAAAGATTTATTCCTGTAATTCGGGCCTTTCGTTAAAAATGTCCGGACTGTGATGCTCTTCAGGGCCCTACCACTGAACAAAATTATTCCTTCAACCGGTCTGCCTCTTCTTGTGAAAACCTGAGGGAGGTTCGGAAGCCCCAGCGATGACGAAAAAGGGAGTTGAGAAAGGGCAGGTCAGACAGGGACAACTCACCCTGAACCCCCAGCCCCAGTGGCCGGTAGCTTGTGCCATTCCGGATGATGTGATGTAACCAAGCCCACTGTAAGAGAGGGAAACCGCAAGTTCATACCTGCATTAGGAGTCCTAGTTAGAAGCATCCCTAACGAGAAGGAACTCAGTTCAGCATTCCTTCCCCAGCTTGGCACGCAGACGGCACTGGGTTCTAATTTCTGGCCTTGCCGATTAAACGGATTAATGGGGAAGGTTTTGGGATACTACCTCTTGCCACTGCAATTCTCAGAGAGAGTAAAACGGAGCTAGAACCCCAGTCCTCCATCAGCTCCACTGGCTCCCTATTGAAGTCCGGGCCCAATTCAAGGTGTTGGTGATGACCTATAAAGCCCTCAACGGCTTGGGACCAGGTTATCTAAAGGAATGTCTGCGTCCATATATGCCTGCCCGCCCCCTAAGATCGGCAGCGGATGCCCTTCTCCGGGAACCCTCCGTGAAGGATATTAGGAGGGTGAATACCCAGAGGAGGGCCTTCTCTGCGGTGGCGCCCCATCTATGGAATGCACTCCCCAGAGAGGTCTGCCTGGCGCCGTCATTATTTGCTTTTCGGCGCCAGGCGAAGACCTTTTTATTTAAAAGTTATTTTAACTGTTAATTTATTATTATTGTATTTATAGATTTTAATATATATAGCCGAGATGGTACCAGTTTTTAAATTATTGATTGTATTTTTATGTTTCTTTTATGGATGTTGTGAGCCGCCCCGAGGCTTTGTTGCAATGGGGACGGCATAGAAATGTTTTAAGTAAGTAAATAAATAAATCATAGAAGGGCATCTCCATATATTCATCATTTTTAGCCTGGGATGAGGCATTTGTTTCCATCCAAAGTCTGCATCACCATGCCATTTCTGCCTACTGAGTGGGAAATCCAGTTCTCTCCGAGCGGCACTCTGCCACAGTGACGAGAGCCGGCCCTCCTCCTCGCGTCAGTCCATCTGCTTTAGGAGCAGAGAGTTTCCATTCTTATTCTGGGGTGCTGGACACAGTGAGCCGTGTAAGAGTGCTCCGAGATATTCTGAATCGGAAAGGGATGAGAGCGGCAGGTCCTGTGCCAGGGCCGTGGGCCTCGTGGACTTCCGTGGGCCAGCGGTTCCCCAACCCTGCTTTAAGAGCAGCAGTTCTGAAAGAGATTAAAGCTACTCCTCCTAAATCCTTAGGATGTTGGGCCTCTTTCATCCTGAGAGCCAGATTCGATTTTAGAGATGTTCTAGGAGACCATATTCTGGCGGGGGGGGGGGGGGACACACAAAGGGCAGGACACAAAAACGCACACTTTATGTTTCATCGCATGCTTTACACTTCTGTGGCACCCAGTACCCTCTGTGATTTACAAAGATTAAAATCTTTAAAATATCTCATAAGCCCCATCGATGTGCCAAGATGAATCACATCAAGCCCCGGCAGGGACGCTTCTAAATCTGAAAACCATTTGCAGAATTTACAAGAAAAAGTCAAGACGTGATTAAAACCACAGCAGAGTCTGTCAAATGCCTGAGAAAAGAAGCTACAGGGTAACGATGCTGATAATGGCAGGGCTTCGTTGGGGCGATCTTTCCAAAACGGGGGGGGGGGGGCTACCACCAAGAAGGCCTTCTCTCAAAGGACACAGCTGGAAGAGGGTTTAGCTGCCGGACATGGTGTACAGACCAGCATATTAATGCTAGGAGAGGCAGGCCATCGAGTGCTTCCGATGGAGATGTGTTTTGCAACTTAATTAAGACCTGGCACTAATTTTGACCTTTCCAGATGGAGGGCAACACCCACACAAAAGGTGGGGAACTGCAAAACTGTCGAGGGGAAAGGGTGAGACCCAGGCTGGGGGAACGGTCCTATGGGGGATGAGCAGGTCCAAGGGCACCAGGGGCCCCAGATGGGCCAAAGCCGAGTTCCAGCATGCATTTCCTTTGCAACTCCTGCTCCGGGTGTGATTTGCCTCAGCGAGGAATATGCAGGGATAGCTACCTTCCAACTGGGATGCAGATGTAGAAGAGGGAAAGCATCCAAGTCCGGTGGTCTTTCTCAAACAGGTCAGCAATGATGGTTGGGGCCACTGTGGAGTAACTAGCGGTGCCAGCACCCACAAGGCCCCGCGTGATGAAAAACAGCCAGGCCATCTAGAGGAGGAGGAGGAGATGCACGGGGCACATTAAACCTCACCCTCTAGCACCTGGCACAGACTTAATTTAGCTCACACACCTTTCCTTTTCCAAGAGGCCCAATCAGAGATCGTGCCAGGGGCAGCCCCCAAACTTCTGGGGGCCCTCTGCCCCACCACCCCAGTGTCCATGGGCATTTGCTGAAATAACCCTCCCGTCCCCCCTGGCAGCGTGTCTCTATCGCATGTGAGCTTCACCTCCTGCCCCCCAAACTCTTCTGCCTGACTTTTTCTGCTCACCTTTCCTGTTCATGTGCCCCTTTTTTAGAAATCAGGGTGTCCTTCAATGTGGATCTACAAATAAAAGGACCCCGTGTCCGAGTTTGTCCTGCTTTTCCACTGATGCGTTTTGTTTTCTCTGTCTTTTTCAAGTGGTTGCTTTCATGGACGAGTAACTAACTTCCCCAGGCTGCCAAAAGCTGGCCAAGTAAGAACCTGCCATGTGGGATTCAGCCGGTCTAGCCGAGGACTCCCACACCTGGCCCTTTGGCATTCCCCAGGGCTGGAACGCCAAAGGGCCACGTTTGGGCTCAGCAAAGAACAAAGAACAATGCAAAGCATTCCAAATAAAAGGCCTGTTCTTACGGAGTGCGGGATGAAGGAGCTCCCGAGGGTGACACCCGACCAGAGGGCGATTCCGGCACTCAGGATGATCTTTCGCTTGTACTGATCTCCAAGATACCCAAAGAGGGGCGCCGAGAACAAGAAGCAGAGAACAAAAACTGCCATGGGAAAAACAAGAGAGCGGAGGCTTTAAAAATGTCCTTCTTTATTTATCAATTGTGCTGCTGGATACACCCCCAAAGGGCAAGATTCCCTGGAGAAGACGATCACACTCAGGAAAGTCGAAGGCAGAAGTGGAGGAAGGAGGAGCTGTTCCCAAGGAAGCTGCAGCCAAGGGGCTCCTAACCTAGGGGCCCGCGGCCTCCAACCAAAAAATGTTTTACAAATTGCCATTAATTTTATTTCATCCATAACGATAAGAATCAGGGGCTTAGCTAGGGGAAGATCATCTTCTAGACTGAAAACGATAAAGAATGATCTACAACATGGGTCCTCAAACTACGGCCTGCAGGCTGGATATGGCTCGCCTCAGAGCTTTCGGACTCGCTCGGAGAAGCTCTGGGCCGGCGCAGGCATTCTCTGAACCTGAGCAGAGAGCCGGCGCACGCACCAAATTGTGACAGCTCCCTTCAACTGCGTGTGCGCCGGCTCCCCCCGCCCCGCCATTGCACGCATATACAGAGTAGGAATATGGAGCGGGAAACAGAAGAGAGGAGGGCGGGAGAGAGAGAGAGAGAGAGAGACGAAGACGCTAAAAAAGGATAGATGGTAAGAAAAACTGAACTTTTAAATCTATTTTTAACTATGTGAGCCAAGCCACGGCCTTCTTTGGGCAACCCGCCGTCCAGCGGCCGCCATGCGGTGGGGAGAGGCGGGAGGCATCCCGCTCGGCCGGCCACGGCCCTGTCCCGAAAGCAGCCTCTCCTCCCCCTTCGCGGCCCCTTGGCCAGGGATCCGCCTCTCTGGCCTCCTGCTCCCCTCCCGGAGCCGGTGGGCGCCTGCCTGCCTGCGAGGGGCCCGGCCGGCCTTTCTCCGGCTCGGGCGGCGAGGGACCGGGGAGGCCAGACTGAGGCGAGCAGCCCTCATGGCTCCCCGCAAGTCGCACTCCCCCTTTCGGCGGACAGCACAGCATCGGAGCAAACATTTTTTAAAAAATAATTATTTTTTAATTTTTAATCATTTTTAATTTAATTTTAATTATTTTTGACCTATCAAACCCTAAAGGGCTTGGGACCAGGATACCTGAAGGAACATCTCCTTCCTTATATGCCCTCACGTCCCTTAAGGTCTATGGGAGCAGCCCTGCTCCGGGAACCCTCTCTAGAAGAGGCAAAACGGTCATCAACTCAGAGCAAGGCCTTCTCTGTGGTGGCGCCCAGACTCTGGCATACGCTCCCCAGAGAGGTACGCCTGGTGCCGAGCTTATATTCTTTTCAGTGCCAGGCCAAAACCTTTTTATTTAAATGGTATTTTAAAAACTAATAGCTTTTAAGTTCAGTCGCTCTTGCATAATAGGATGGCATACCAAAGCTTTTAATTAATTAATTAATAATAAATATTTTTTAAATGTGCAGTGTGCATAGGAATTTGTTCATTTTTTTTCAAACTATAGACAGGCCCCTCAACAGTCTGAGGGACAGTGAACTGGCCCCCTGTTGAAAAAATTTGGTTGTCTGATCTAAGCATTCTCTGCATAGAAAATGATAAACTGCAACTTACTGATTAATAATAGAAAAGTGTGCATCCAAAATTACCAGAAAGAAACTGTTCCGACTTTGTTGTTACACAGCTATGATTCCCCTATGCATGTTCCACGTGAACATCTTCATTAATTCCAGACTTATTCTGCAAACTTATTAAAAGTTATAAATGTATCAACAATCTGTTTATCAATGCTAAAATTCCAGCAATGTTCTCTTTTCGTTGAGGAGATAAAGAAGAGAATGAGGTTTTGTTTCTCATGATCGGATGCTATTAAGTTTGGGTTTCCCGGGGCCTCCGGATGCTTTAATCTGGGTCTGCCAGGGCTGCCCCTTTTTCGACGCATTTATTTCATTTCTGGCCCTTCTCTTCCCCAGTGCCGACAGTAAAGGCACATGGAGCGACACAAACCGATCTTCACCTCACCGTGGCTCTGCAAGATGGGATGAATCGAGAAGGATTTGGGCCTCGAACGCTCTTCGACAGGAAGGGCTGGGGTGTCTCCCTCGGCGACAGTCTTCCCCAACCCAGTATGCTGCAGCCAGGGAAGATGGGGGTTGCAGTCCAATGCATTTGCAAGAAGCCAGGCTGAGGAGGGTCTGCGCTCAGCTGCGTTCAGCGTGCGCTTACGAAACTGAACGATATCGTGAGAACCTTTGCCGCCGTTGAGGCCCAAGCGAGCAAAGATGCAGCCTTCTGTTCTCAGAGTAGCCAGATGGCTTCCCAAGCAGGATAGGAGGGAAACAGCACCTCCTGCCCATGATCCCCAGCAACAGGTGGACAGAGGCATACTGCCTCCAGTGCCCGGGCAGCATGGAGCCATGAAGACGAGAGCCACGGATAGCCTTCTCCTCTGGGAATTTGCCCAAGTGCCCCTTTTAAAGTGGTCCAAATGGGTGGCCAGCCCGCCGTCTTGTGGCAATGAGTTCCACAGTTTAACTCTGCGCTGTGACGTTTTGATGCGCTATGAATCTCCCACCATTTCACGTCACAGGATGGCTCTGGTTTTGGTGCTAGAGCAGGGAATCCTGATGCCTCAGCCTCTGACTCCCATCGACTCCAGGCAGCTTCGGCCTTGGCAAGGATGATGGACATGGCAGTCCAAAAGTGGGGAATAGCTTGTGTTCTAGTCCCACGCAAGGGGATCTGCATTCTGCATTCATCACTGTGTGACTTTGGGCCAGTCACTCGCTTTTGGCCTGTTCTACCTCACAAGGTTGTTGTTGTGAGCATAAGATGGAGTGGCGCAGGACTGTGCAAGACAAACCAATTTGGGTTCCTTGCAGAAAATACATAAATAGTCAAAAAGGCTCAAATGAAATAAAACTTGCTCTCTAATATGAGAATGATGGTGATAAATTAATTCCCTATGTTTGGAAGTCCAATTTGATACTAAAGCATTTCCCATTCAGACAGTGAAGCTTTCCCATTCGTCCCTTGACATTTTAGATTTCTACCAATTTTCTTTATATGAGGTTGCCAGGGTTATCTTAACATTTCTTTCTCACAGCTTTTGCCATTTCTGCAATTCAATATCGTATCCAAATTTCTTGCCCGTGATATCATAGTTTCCTTACCTTGTTCATCTTCCATTTGCATTTCTAAGAGAAACTTATACAATCTTTTAATCATTTTTTCATCTGATTTTAAAATTACTTGATCAAACAGTTTGCTCCTTATAAAGACATTTTAGATTGCTATGTGCAGAAATGCACTGAGTCATTGATTACTCTGGAAGAGTTGCTGCTGTTTGTTTGTTTGCTTTTTTAATGTAACCGGAAAATGACAGAAGAGGCGTCTGACCAGGATGGTTACTGAGGTCGTGCTGCCTGAGGGGAATCAAATCTGTGTCACCCATTTACAGGAATGCAGAAAAAAATACAGAATGTGGTCCGGGGTGTCGAATTCAGCTTCCTGAGCAACTTCAGCTTTCTGTTGCTGTTGTTTTGTATTAATAATATTAATCATTTGTATTTGCTGGTTTTCCTGCACTCTGCAATGCCAACAAGTCATTGACACCCAGTTATATCCCTCTGTTATGAGAGCCAGTGTGGTGTCGTGGTGAAGAGCCTGGGACTGGGACTCAGGCGATCCGGGTTCGAGTCCCCGCTCAGCCCTGGAGCCCACTGGGTGACTTTGGGCCAGTCACAGACTCTCAGCCCAGCCTACCTCACAGGGCTGTTGTTGCGGGGATAAGATGGAGGAGGAGAATGATGTAAGCTGCCTTGAGCCCTTTGCAGGAAAAAGGCAGGATATCAATCCATAAATAAATAAATAAATAAAAATAAAGTCCCTAATCTTCTTCTTCTGGTTCCAAAACTCAAGACAGCCCTTTAAAAATGCAGTTTCTTTATGGGGACTCCACAGATCGCAGGGCAGTTTGAGCTCTAGCTAGACTTCTACTCAAACTGAAAAAAGAGGCTTCTGCCCACGTGAAGAGTTGAATCCAAACTGAGAACTTCCCTGCAGTACCTCCTTTCAGGAAAGCTTCTGGCTCCCCCTGCAGGGAGGTTCCCGGTACAGGTGGGAAAGCGACGCTTTTCCCCTTGACCAGCTTTTTCGCTTGATGCCTCCGTGCTGGGTCAAGGCCTGGGCCTGGCACCTGCCCCCTCCCCTCCTGTAAGCCCTCCCTCCCCTTCAACTTGGGCCGATTCTCGCTCACAGCCCGAGAAAGTTCACTGGCATAGTTAAAGGAGGTCCAAAGGCTTCAGACCCATCCCTGCCTTCCCTTCCGCGCCTCCCCACTTCCAGTCCACCGTGTGCGGGAAGCCGACCCATTTCTGCGCCCACCTTGTTCTCTGAAACTGGGGAGGATGAAATGGTCCTGCACTGCTGCCCAGAAGCTGCAGGGACCGAATGGGGCAAAAAGAAACACGGAAACAGAGCGAGCCAGGAGGGGTCTCCCGGGCCATCTAGTCTGACCCCCGGCTCCAGCTGGCTCCGCTCATGACATGCCCACCATGTGCATGTCCAAAAGACAGGGCTCGTCCGGGATTTGAACCCGGGACCTCTCGCACCCTAAGCGAGAATCATACCCCTAGACCAACGAGCCAGTTAAGAAGTGGGACCTAATCCTGACAAAACGGACATCCCCTCGGGAGGTGGATCTGCTGCCTCAGGACTCGGTGTGCAGCCTGCCTTGGCCGGCATTGCACCCCAGGGAAAGATCAACCTCATTGTTTGGTGCTGCTTGATCTCCACGCAAGATTTGCAGATCCTGGAGGTGAGCTGTCTTCAGCCTGGGCTGGCTCCCCAGCCAGGTCCTAATGAAGGACCTTCGTTACCCCGGTTTTCCACAAATTAGCAGGTTCTGGCTATTCTCAGTCTCTGCCTAAACATCTGGAGAGGGCGGCCTTGAGATAAGCCAGGGCACCTCTTCCAGCTCAGTTTCTGGAGGCCCAGTTGCTCGGGTTCATCCTCCCCATGGGAAGAGTCCGTGACTCCCAGGCCCTGACACGCGCACCAAGATCTGCGCCGCTTTCGTTCCCAACGGCAGGTGAGGCTGTGGGGCCCTGGCTGGTCCGAGGCCAGTCCAGGGGACTTCACAGCTCCGTGCGCTGGCCTGCTCGGTCCTAGCCTCACGCACCCACAGCGGTACCTTGCGTCCTTGCATTGCGCAGGCTCCACAACGGGCGTTACAGGCCGGGTCATCTGCCTGTTTGTGGTTAAACCTACTGATGAGAAGTGCGCTTTCAAGATGTTAAGACAAGAGCGGAGGGGAGGGAAAAGTTTGGGGTGACCCATGTGGGAAAATGGTTTTACCTGTGTGCAAGAGGCCTGCACTCCTGTCTTCGAGGCTGAAGTATTTCTGCAGCTCTAGAAGCACGCCTGCAAAGAGAAGCGAATCGGATGAGCGTCGTTTGCCGAGAGGCTCTGCTTTGTTTGATGCCTCGCTGTTCCTGGTTTGCCCCTTTCTCGGGCATGCAAAGCAGCCAGGTTTCTCCAAGCAGGTAAGGGAGTCAAAGCCATTCGGCCAAATGGAAGCCCCATTCCAGTTGTCCAAGCCCAACTCTACCTGTGCCCAACCTTGCAAGGTTAAGTGGCAGGATCTGGAGAAGACCTGGCAAACATCTGAAGAACATCTGAAGAGCTGAAGAAGTCAGGGCAGTATGGCCAGAGGACGGCATCCTACTGTCTTTGAATCTGGCATCTATCTGTCCGTCCACCCACCCACCCGAGGCTGTGGACAAACTGAAGGAGGTGCAGAGGCTAACAGAAGAGGTTCAGTGATGGAGAAAGCAAGAAGGAAGGGTAGAAGGAGGGTGGAGAAGAGGGCTGTCAAGGACCTGAAGGGATGTTCTGAAGAGGAGGGCAGAAGGTCTACAACAAGGGAGTTGCCAGTGAAACTTTCGGAGAAACATCTCGAAGGCAAGAATGGTTCAGCCGTGGAGCCATTAACCAGGAAGGGTGGTGGACTCTCGCTCACAGAGGGCATTTAGATGCTGAACTGCTGGGAAGTCAGGGACATGGCTGTGTCTGGGGAGCCAGGCAGGGGGTGGACTAGATGCCCTTTGGGGCTCTCTCCAACTCTTCTATTCTATGAGTCTATCTATGGAAAAGGACGCATTGCGCATTGGGTGACGTGCGTTCCAGTCCCTGCAAGCTGAAGCAGTAATCGGCTAGCTGCATCCCAAAACTCTTTGTCACTTTGTGCAGTTAGAGACGCAGAAGCATTTGATGCATTGCATTTCCCTCCTGACCGCTGAAGGTTTCTGGGTGGGTGGTTTGCAAAGATTAACACCTTCAAAGTACCGTATAAAAGCCATGTTGTACAGAGACACGCAAATATTAAAAAACCCCTTCAAACCATCAGCTAGCAAAACAAACGGAGGATGAACCAGAAAGCTCATCCCGGGCTGCCAAACGCTTGTGCGAAGAAGTTCTTAATGTGGCGCTGAGAAGACAGCAGAGAAGGCACAAGGCGGTCCTTATCAGCGAGGTCATTCCAGCATTGAGGAGCCGCCACCAGGGAAGATACGGCCTCCGCACCGCCCACGCAGGCTAAAAGAGGAGCAGAGAAAGGGTGCGGCCTGAGAAAGCCAGGTTCTGGTGGCTGGGCTAGGAGAACTCCTGCCAGAAAGCCCGGCCAGCTACTTGGGCGTGGTGTGACTCAGCATACGAGTTTGTTGGGCTCCCCAGAGATTCTCTTCCCAGAAGTGGTTGGAAGCAGGCAGCTTTTGCTCTCGGGACAAAGCGGGGCCGGCTTACCTGGCACAACAAACCAGTCCATGTAATTCACCAGGTTAAGGTAGCACAACACACCGATTGCTAGGTAAGACCTCTTGGTCGGGGATCGGGCCAGCCCCTGTGGCTCCCCATTCCCTTCAATGGTCCCGTAAGCCTTCAGAGGGGTCGGCGACGGAGGCGGTGGCCGTGGGGCCACCAGCTCCATCCTGCCCCCGGAGCAGCTGAGGGAGCAGGTGGTGCCACAGCTGGGGCTCGGAGAGTGTCCCTATCCGTGTGGCGCTGCAACTCCAAATTCCACCTACTGCATTATGGGGAAGTTTTCTCTGCTCAGTCATTTCCTGCAAACAGCCATGCATGAAGTCAGCTGCAGAACCTCTGCATTTCCCCCTCCTGCAATAATTGTGTGCAAGCACAGACTATTTCTCAGAGCACACGGCAAAAAGAAACGCCCACGTTTGCATGCACGGAAGAAACGCCTGCTGATAACAGAGCATCTTCTTTCTGAAGCCCTAATTCAGGGATAGACACTTGCATTGTGGGCAGGAAGTCTGGCTGGAAAAGAAGACACCTCTCTCGGAATCAACTGCCGCTGTGAGATAAATGGACCAGGTTCTGACCTGAGAAAAGGGAATATCTTACCTTCCGGACTCTTGTATTCTTGCACCCAAAAGACACTGATTTAGCATGCATTTTAGCTCTGCAGACTTAGGGTGCAGAGAAAGGATCATGCCTTTCAGCCAATGTGCAAGCCAAAAATTGCATTAACCTTATTTATTCATTCGTTCGTCCAGTCGTTCATTCAAAGATTTTATAGACCATCCCATTACTAGCATATCGGGACAGTTTACTACAAGCACAGATAAAAAACGGCACAGCAACCTTCAAAGTCCTTTCCTTCTGTACCTTTTCAAATCAGGTTTTCAAAGCAAAAGAAGTATAGAAGTCTGCGTATTTTGTTTCTTTTTAATATTCCTAGGCTGCTTTTCAGGGCAAACGCCCTACAAAGGCATATCAAGGGATCTATCAAGGGAAAAGGGTATATTGGTGAAAATATTTTCAAACATTTGGGGAAACTTCTTAGTTAGACATGCACACCCCAGTGTGCACAGATCTGCATGTGACATTTCTAAAAAAGCGAACAGGTAGGGATGAACTGACCTTAAAAAATTCTCAAACCAACCTTATGCCTGGAAAAAGCAAAAACTGACAGAAGCCAAATTGACAAATTCATCCATCCCAAAACATCCAGTCTGGAGCTCCAAATACATCCAGGCCTGATTTGCTTCCAGAAAATGGAAGCAGGAACCCAGACTTACAGTGCAGAACTGCAGAGCGAGCTGATTTTGGATGAAGCAGCCCTGGGTTTGAATCTCTGCTCCATAGTACATTTTCCTGGATGGCCCTTGCTGAGCCCGCAACCCTCAGCACAGATCTGTGTCCCAGGAGGAAGGAAAGATAAAGATGTTGGTGACATTGTGTCTGCCAGATACCAGAATTTCCTGAAAGGCCTTTGCTGCAACACAAGAGGAAGCCCCCCAAAAAGCGAAAAAAACCCAGGAATTATCTTCTGGAGTTAACCCCTTCAGCCCTGCTGGCCCCTTGTGGTGCCGGCTTCCCCCGCTCGGTGTAGCCGGCTGTGGGGCTGGGAGAGGCTGCGCTCCGCCTCGGTGGGGTGTTTTGGAGACTTCCTCGCGTTCGCCCGTTTCGTGATGGCTGATTTACGTACGCGAACGAAGTGCGGCGGTAAAATTGGGTTCAGCAGTTGGTGACCAACAACGGCATGACCCATGTGCCCCACCCTCCCTAGTCACCCGATCTCCCCCCATGCAACCTTTCTGGGGTTTTTTTTTTTTTGTTTTGTTTCCCTGGATGAAAAAAAGTCCTCAAAGGGAAACGTTTTGCCGGTGCGGAAGAGGAGAAACAAAACACAGCAGAAGCACTAAAAGGCATCAAAATGGACCAGTTCAAAACCTGCTTCGAGCAGTGGCAAAAAGTCTCGATGGGTGTATTGCAGCACAGGGCGAGTACTTTGAAGGGGACAGAAGTCTGAATGTGTGGAAATAAATACACTTTTTCTATAAATAAATTCCTTTTGGGGGGGGTCCCTCCTCGTATGCCTCCCTCCTCTCTTCTGCGTCCACCTGAGCATCCGTCCATGTTGTTATAGCAGCTGGTTCCAGTCTGGACAGATGTGTGAACATCTGCATCAGGACATGGTGGACCAGGTCAGGGTCCATCTGTCCAAGCTGCTGTTCACACCGTGACCAGTGCAGAGGTGTGCAGCTGAACCTCCTGACCATGTTCCCCATCACTGGTGTATCCAGGCTTACCCCCTCTGAAATGGGCACCATGGATGGCTTTCTCCTGCAGAAATTCATCCAACCCCCTTTTAAAGCCATCCAAATCGGCATCGGAAACAGCGGTCAGGTAGTCTTCGCAGTGGTCCGTGCACAGAAAAAAACCTCCAATTGCTCCAGATGGAAAACAATCTCTCTGCAGTTTTTATTTACAAGACTTAGCGACTGCTCCATATTCCCATATGAAGTTGTGAGCAGATGAGAAAGCAGATTATTAAAGGAATGAATCAATATGTCAAAGGCAAAATCCATAAACTGCAGCTGGTTCGTTCAGAAAGTCTTCCTGAAATAAAAGGGGCAACGGAAACATTCCAGAGGCAGGCATGGCACTGAAATGGGAGTGCCACATGGAAAGTCCTTCTCTTGCAGGACTCTGATTCAGCTAGAGGTCCTCACAGCATCCCTGGAAAACACCTTCCAAGGATGCACTTTGCTCCTGCTCTCCAGCCACCGCAGTCTTCATTATTCACAGGAAACACCTACCCTAGGTGAGACATCCCATATCCAACTTTTAAGGCTGCTCTCCCAGACCACCTCCTCCAGAAGCCGGCCACAAGGAACGGGGCCTTTCTCTTGGTGGCCCCAGTGGCGGAGTGCCAGTGTACCAACAGGACACCAGGCAAGGCTTCCTTTGATTCCCAGGCATCTGATTTTTATGCACCAGCTGTTCTGATTACGGTCTAGAAGGAGACTGGAGCCATCGGTTGCTATGGAAAGTGCTTTTAGCTATTGTATAGTTTGCATGTTGTAATAATTTTACTGGAAGCTGCTTTGGGTCTTTTGAAAGAGATCGGCCTCCCTCTTAAAGGTTTCATGGCTCAAATTATTTCCATGTTTGGTTTTAATCCTGTCCTTCCTCCCAGGAGCACGGAGCAACCATCACCCGCAGGGAAACCCACAAAGGTCTGTGCCATGTACTGCTTCTGGACAGTGGTGTTGGTTTTGCACACTGAGCGCATGAAGCCGGGAGCTGCTGCAGCACGCCTGCCTAAGCGCTCTGTTGCCGTGCCCATGTCAGCCGCATGATCTGAAGCAGTATTTCCAAAGAAGGGGGGGGGGGGGCAGAACGATGGGAGTTTCAGTCTTACAGATCCGGGGTGAGGAAGTCTACACTTTATCATCTTCTGTTCAAAGCACAGCTACAGAGGCTGCTAAAAAGGAAGAGAGTTGGCAACCCACACAGACAGAACCCCCAGGTCTGGGCAGCCAGGGCCCCAGAGTGTGGTTCTGCCGTTGTCATTTGCCGGGCCGGTGAGGCACGGACTGCGGAAAGCGGCTTGCTGAGAGCTGCAGGGGGCACTCTGCTTGTGCAAAGCGGGACTGGGAAACCGCCGGGGGCCGGGCATGTGTGAAGCAAGCTTCCTGAGGCCGCCACCAGGAGGTTGGCTAACAGTGCGAAATTCTCAGGGCCGCTTCCCCAGCCGGCTGTGGGAATGCCAAACAGGAAGCCGGAGCAGACGGGCCAAAAGGAAGTGAGAATTTTTGCCGGGTGGGCCGTTGGCGGCTCTGCAGGACACACGGACGGCCCAGGTGCCTCTGCCTGCTTTGGCGTCGCGGCGGATTCAGCCTCCCCGGGGATTTGATGGGAAAGGGTCTGCTTCCAGCTCTGTGCTCAGCCAGGGCCTTTGGGCAGATGAGGACCCCTTGCAGCCTCCTGAGGCTGAATTCAGACATGCAGACCCACCCTCAAGAGATCCAGACCATATCACCCCCTCGTCCTGCCCCCACAACATCATTTCTGGTTTTTTAAAACGACCAGAACAGCCTTCTTCAACCTGGCACCATCCAGAGGCATTGCACTACACCTCCCATCATCCTCAGCCAGAAGCAACTCAAACCCAGGCACCTCATTGTCAAGATTCCCTCGGCCAGGGGTCAGCCCTGGAAAGATGCGAATGCGGCCCAAGCGGGGCTGAAAGGGAGCTGCAGAATACCTCCATTTCCTCTTTTTCCTAAAATGCAAGACCATCTGAGGTTTTCTGCACGAGGCCTCTGTGAGGCATTCATGATTCCCCACTCACGGTGACTTGCAGCAGGGGTGGGTACGTGACAGGTTGCAGGGCTTTTGCAACCATTTCTACAGCTTTTAATTTAAAAAAAAACCCGTTTAAAATTAATTTTTCTTTAGCAATCTAAGAGCTGAGGCCTTTTTGCTATTGTTAGCACACAGCGCCCTCTTGTGGCTGTACGATGGAACATACAGAAACCTGGGGAGGGGAACAAATTTAAAGGAGCCAGTCCTAATCCCACAAAGGCTCCAGAAGCAGAAATCTCGGTAAAATGGACGTTGAAACATCTCACGTAGAGCAGAGAAAAGGGCTCTTGGTGAGAGGCAGCTTAGCCAGTTTCTCTGCATTCCTTTAACAGATCATCCCCTGCCCCCAATAGCTTTTTCATCTGTGGGGAGAAAGCTATGGAGGGTTCTGTATCTTCCCCCCATGTGGGTGAAACAGCAGTTTCAAAACAACAATTTAGGGTTGAAAAAGTGCCTGGTAGGAGTTGAACAAGCCCTGTTGGGCATTTTCGGCTTAAATGCAACCTGCCTGGGCTATGTGAGGTTAACGTGTTTAAAAAAACGGAGGAAAGAAAGGCTGGAGCTGCGGCGTCATACAGCACAAACCTTGGGCCCTTGGAGCCGTTTTGCCAAAAGACAGCAGTTCTTTTTGGATATTCAGGAGCACTGAGCACAAGAAGTTGTGTTAGCCAGAAAAAAATCCAGTTATGTCCCATTTCGCTGTCTCCCACTTATGGCCAGAAAGCTCTGCTCAGCAATTCTAAATCCAAGGCTGTGGCTTCTTGGATGGGCCCGATCCATTGGTCTTCAGTTTCTTCTGCCTTGGACTTTCCCTAGCAGGATGGGCTTCTCCAGGGCTTC